GGAAAAAAAAACAAGTGGGACTTCCCACTTTTACTAAACGTAACAGAAAGCACAATTTTCATATGATCTAATCTGTTACAATAAAAATATAAATGAACAGAAAGCAGGAAAGAGAATCTTGTGACAAAAACTAATCATATCACTTAATTCATACAGGAAAGCAGGAATATTTTGGGGCGATGAGCACAACATAAGAACCTGAAGAGGGCAGGATTTTTTAAGGCTCTTCTATTTAAAGCCTATTGCACAGAACTCTTATTTTTTGACTAAGGTCCAACTCAAAAATGCATTAAATTTTTAATTGAGATCATGGCTGGTAATCAGGAGCTCTGATGATCACAGCATAGCATGGCAAATAATACTGGATAAATCAGTCTTCATTTAAGGAAGAAAGTCTCTGATCTTTTACTCTAAGGGCACAAGCACAGTATCACTTGAATGCTGGGGAGGACCAAGTTCTTCCATGTAAAGGGCATGTCAAACCTCCTATGACTCCTGGAGAAAAAAAGGTTATCTACAGAGGAAAGCCAAGGAGAAGGCTCCCGGGGACTCTGAAGGAATTAAGTGAACTTTGAAAGCTTCTGGGGATCTTCTGAAAGTCCAGGAGAAGGACAGAAAGYGTTGTGCTGCGTTCCCCCATCATTCTCTCTCTTGAGCTCCCTGAAGGCCTGCTAAAATGCTGTGATGATCTCCGAGGTTCTCTCACTCTCCCAGGACATCAGCAGAAGACCTCTAACAAGAAAACATTAAGTGGACTGAGTTGGGGGAGATGCTAATCCCCACCCCCCTGTCAATGGGAGCAATTTCAGGATTGAAAAGCCCCCAGTCTGCTTGCTTATTGTTTGGTTTAGGAGCACAACATACCAATGTGCTCAGTTCTCCCTTAGGAGAAAGCAGATATGGAGCTTTCCTGTTGCAAAGCATATGGAAAGACACCAACCTAAGAGTCTTGATTTTGCTTTTCTCTCAACAAACTTGGTTTGATATTTTTGACCAGTACAGTGAGGTGACTGGCAAAATTCCACCGACTTCAGTTTATCTAGAATTGCAGAGTGTCTCCACCTTGACATTATTTCATGGAAGTGGACTTGTCCTTCTCCCTGCATGCTCTCACGGGCGCTACACAGACACAGATTCCCTGGATTTGGGACTAATTCGCGGTCCCTTATTCTAGCGCATATTTTTTGCRGACTTTGTTTTTTCTTCTTTCTGATCTAAGTATGTTCCAAAATTTATTGTTAAAATCTTGATATGTGCCATAATTTGGCTGGAATAGGTTTGTCCTCCTTTGTTAACCAATTTTCAGATGAGGCTGTTTGCTAGAATCTTCTTTCATTCACTGGATTACAACCTGGGATTATTTAGTTGGAATTCAAAGTCAGCCACAGAAATTCTTTAGCCATCTGGATTGCTGCTCTTCTGCATTTACCTCATGTAAACTTCACTTCACAAGAAGWAGAAGAACGGGACAACTCTTAACACATTGTGTTATATGGCCATCTTGTTCTATGGAAATCCTTTTATCTCAAGCAGCCGGGAAAGGAAAACCTTGTGAACTTTGAAGCAGTTTTTATTGCATTAAAGGGAAAAAGCAAGACTGTCAACTACCATTTCACTTTTAAAGTTAACTGTAAGGTTTAAATTAGGTCCTTTGAACAACGAGTCTGCAAGGCTTCGCATTTAAGAGTTAGCAATAGTATAAGTTCCACAGACTTCTGTCATTAAGTTCGGTTGACAGAGGCCAACACAATTCTTCTTTGTAACTTTGTAACCATTTATGTTTGAGGTGAAGATGTTAATATGGAAATTTTGCGAGCCGGGAATGACTATGAACTCAATCATTTTAATTTATGACCTTTCATCTAAGGCCAAATGTAAAGGCAACTRCAATTGTTCTATATCTCAAGGCCAGCACATAGCAGATGTATGAAATTTGGAGTGTTAGACATAAACTTTTATTACCAAATTATAAATAATTTCTACCACTTACAATGTTCACCTTTCAAGTTCATCTTGATTAAAACACAAGGGCACCATCTCACTGATTTCAATGAGTTATAGAGCTGAAAAAGCTCTATTGTAGTACRCTATGAAAGGATAAAGCAATGTGGTAAAGACATGTACTGATAGCAAACTATGCAAAATTTTAAGATCTAAATCCTTTCCCATCTATAAGCAAACAAACAAAAATGGTAGAAACATTAGCTAATGGGGCCTTAATTTTATTTTCACTCTTAAAGCCTTGAAATGTTTAACAATTCCACTGAATGTGGATTACTTAAGCCCTTTGGAGACCACCTTCTTGAGGTCATTTCCATGTGGTCATGCAGGAAAAAGAACATTCTCTGAGCTGTGCATTAACAGATGTTATTACATAATGTTTCTCAACATACAAAAAGGAATTTTCCAGGTGCAAACCACACTACTCCAAATGGCTCAGCAAKATTCATCTTATTGCATAAAGGTCAATTCAACAGTAAAAATAGTATGTGAGACTGTTTTAAGCAAAACGCAGAAAACTAAGATTCGTGTTCCTGACTTGAGGGCAAGCCATGAATGGCAGGGGCTAAGGGTACAAAATTCATACCCATCTCAACTCCCATGACTCAAAACAGACAGGTCTGTAAGTTTAATAAAGTATTAAGCAGGAAATCATGAGGATTTTGCTGACTGGCATTGAACAGCAAAAGCATACATACACAAGCCCTAGCTACATATATATGCTTAACCTAACTTGGAAGCAGCCTGTTGGGCAGTACGCAAAATAGCTCAGCAGTGACTAGTAAAGAGGAAATAGAACCTGCAAAGAAAAGAAAAAAAATGGAAGAAATAAAACAAAAAGGAAGGATCCCAAATCACAAAATATCCCCAGCCAGACTTGCAAAATTGTTAAGAAAATCCACCAGCCCAGGCACGAAATCTACTTGCCCAGTCTCAATCATGGAGATCAGTAATAATGATAAACAGAATAATTCCCCTTCAAAATATTATGCACTCAAGCCTGGTGGGCAAATTAAACTTTGTGAGCCTGCCCTCCGTGGTAGGGCACTATTTTAGGTTCCTTTTCTGCTTCAAGTGCTAGATATAATCAAGCACAGTTGGATCCTCCTGATTAATATGATGGTTGCCTGGCAACATGGTCACAATGTGGCCCTACTTTCCTGACCGAGCCTCCTCTTGAACTCCAGGACGGCAAGGTGAACTTTGCCGGGTTCACGGACCTTGCCTTTTAAAGCCCTCCAGCCTAAGCTTTGGAGGGAAAAAAAATGTTAACAAACGCGTTGAGAAAAGAGATAAACAACTCTAAAAGGAAGAGAGGGAAACATTTACTAATTCATATTCTGAAAAACTATAGTACATTTTCATTGTATCATGACAATGAATAGTTTTACAAAGATATTAAATCAATAATGGAAGAATAAAAAATCCAGTTCAGAAGCTTTCACAGATGATTAACTCCTGTCATGGTACTAAATCCCTAAAAAAAGAAAGGGCTTCCCAGACATTGTGGTGATATCTGGAGGAAAGGGGAAGAGAAGGCTGAGAGAAGTAGAAGGCACAAGTTCAACTTCTTGTTTTGCTGTGTTCTTTTCAGACAACATTGGAAAAAAAAAAAAACACTTGGCTTTTGTGTTCATTAATTCACCTGATAAATGAATGAACAACACTTTCCTATCTAGAGTTGTACTAAGGATACCCTACACTGAAATGTGAGAAGGCCTATGTAAGACAAGATCATCTGGGAATAAATAGAATCTCATTAGAGTATAATTAAACACTGGATCTTTTTTTTTTTCCATAAGAAATCAATGAGACATTTTCTGGCATAAATGTGCGCAAGATGTATTTTTAAAAAGTGCATCTGCATTAACAAATCAGAATTTTGGTTATAAAGTATCAGTAGATCCTAAAGGTGATTCATTTGCAAAACACCCTGATAGGTGTTGGAGAAGTTTTATGAGAAATCAATAGCGTTTTTGCATTATCATAATTCTAAATTAKATGTGACTTACAGTCTTTAATAAGACAGAATTTGTCATAATATGAAAGAGAAATGGAGTAACATATTAAAATAATCTCAGACTTAAGAAGCTTCTTCCCGTAGTCCCAGTCACTTTCAACCATGCATGCTGGAGCGTCGCTATCTGGTCCCCTGCCCCTATTTGGCCCCTTACTCTGCCCATTAACAAAAGCAGCAAAAATCACAGTCACAGTAACGGGGAAGGAGAAGTGACAACTATTACAGGTGATTTTCTGGTAAGCTTTTCCACGTGCAAGCCAAAGGTGTGGACACAGCTGATGATGAAGCTTTTGGTCTCCTCTCAAAGGAGCTCAAAGCAGAAAGCAGGAAACTTTGAGGATTGTGCAATTACAACCCAAAAACGTGCCAAGATCCCACTTTTCATCCCGAGYGGGAAAACGCCAGGCAGGCATCACCGCTTCGGCTGTGCGGGGCGCAGCACGGACAGGCACAGCGCGCAGCACAAAAACCAGCTCGGTCCGTTTGGGCAAGCGCGAGAGGCGCGAGGCTCGCTCCTCGCCCCGCGGCGAAAGCCGCTTGCCTTGGCAGCCATGCAGCCGTTCACCTCACCCGTTTCCCAACGGCTCCTAACGGCCACGGGCCGCCGCTCAACGGTCACGGGGCCAGGCGTTGGTGAGCGGCCGCCGCGTGGCGCCGCCGCCCCGCCCCCGGGGCGGCGCCGTGGCGCTCGGCCCGGCTCGGCTCGGCTCGGCCCGGCCCGGCCCGGCCGCCGCGGGCTCGGGCAAGGGGGCAGGAAAGGGGAGGCCGCGCCCCCGGTCCCGCCTACCGCCAAACGCGCTCCGCCGCCAGGTGCCTTTTGTCCCGGCCGCGGCGCCGTAGCGGGCGGCGCTCATTGGCCGCGGCTCAGCGGCACGGGGCGCAGCCGGCGCGCGCGGCGGGTGAGTGCGGCGACCGTTGGCGGCGACCGTTGGCAGCAGCGGCGGGTCGCCCCTTTCCCGTAACGGGGTCTCCGCGACTCGGCTCGCTCGGTAAAGACAGCGGCGCTGGGCGGGGGGGGGGAAGGGGGAGCGCAATACTGAATTAGGGCCTCACCAAGCTATGAACTACATACTATGAATTTTTAAACCACAACGTCCTTCCAGGCTTTCGCAGAGGTTAATTGCAGAGCTTAATTCTAAGTTTCATGCAAGTTAAATGACTTGTTTAAAGTCATTCTTCCCAATTCACTGTTTGCTCATATGTGTGTAACTGAGATCAAAATCCCTTCTCTTGTTTCACTATATAGAGCATATACTGGATTGCAGTGCCCAAACATGTGAACCCACTATTGATCTGCAATTTTAGTAAATCCATTTCAGCAAAGAAAAAAAAAATCAAGGCCTTGGCTACACTGGAAGTTCACAAGATGCACAGCATGGCAAATGGTTTGAAATCAAGGATTCCTGTCAAGAACTTCGGAAGTTATAAAAATGACAAATGGAAAATTTAATGCTATGGCCCTAGGAACTGTCTTTCCATGTCTGCCCTACGGTTTTCCTTTTATCTCCTTCAGTATTTTCTCCTCCTGAGAACTGAGCGTCTGCCTCTCAGTACCGAGAGCTTAAAGTCTGTGTTTAAGTATTACTTATCCAGATGTTTCTTCCCCCTTTTCCTCCTCACAGCATACCYAGGAAGACCAAGATGAGTCTACGGAAGCAAACTCCTAGTGACTTCCTAAAGCAAATCATTGGGCGACCAGTTGTTGTCAAACTAAATTCTGGAGTTGATTATCGAGGTAAGTTCTCTAAGTAAAGTCTAGGATTTCATTGTCTGGGGAGCTTAGAACAGGTGCAGTGCTCTGTGTGAACAAAGCAGATTGASTCAATCTTGGAAGTACACAAATATAGATCTCAGAATGAGATGAAATAAAGATAAAATATCTTGATTCTCTGCTAAGGGTGTGCACAAATCTAACAGAGAAAGTCTTGGAAAGGCACACAAGTAATAACTAGCAAATTAATATGTACCATTACTATGTGTAGAGATGAGATGTATATAGAACAGAAAAATGGAAGTATTAACCTGCACGGTCTATGACACTATTGGATGGCATTACTAGTCTAAGAGTAGAGAAAATACAAAGAAAAGGGAGAAGACTGGAACAAGCATCAATGCACTCTAGAAACAAAAGAGTCTGAAAATACTGTTTATGGCCCTGTGAATAATGGTTTAAAAAACCCACCACACATTCCAATTACAGTTTTGGACAGATAGGTTTTCGCTTACTATTGTTACTTGGAGCACATGGGATTACTGGAGGGAAAGAATTCTGATGTTAGTTTTGTTTTAGTCTTCTTTGTGTGTGCATTAAACAGCTCTTTGTGAGCAGTCATATTTCTGCTAGATCCTGGGGTTCCTCACTGCCAGCTTAATTCTAAGAACATTGACCAATTGTCTCATCTGGACAAACTTGGATTTTATTTGATTAGGAAAGCTTTTTTTGTTTTTTCCTGTATTGTTCAAATACCATGCATTTTTAGTTATTTTAAGATATGTTTAAGTTGATTGACTTTTAACCTGTTGCTCTTCAGGTGTCCTAGCTTGCCTGGATGGGTATATGAATATAGCTCTGGAACAGACAGAAGAATATGTAAATGGACAGTTAAAGAACAAGTATGGAGATGCATTTATCCGAGGAAATAATGGTAACTCCTTCTCCCTGTATTACTGCTCATAAGAATGTAGTGTTTGATGTTTATTTCTGAATTTGAGGAGCGGCTGAGGTATAAGTCGCTGCTTGTAGGCTTTCTTGGAAACCTCAATATATTTATTTTCTCTTGTGCCTCTTTTCAGTGACAGTGCTCAATCATTCCAATGTTCCTTTCTCTCTGAACCTGAAGTTCTTTTAGGGAAGCATGCTCTTTTCTAGCCTGCCTYAGAACTGTATTTCCTGCTGTCTGGCAGGCTTACCCTTCTGTACTTATTGCCTGCTTAGGTGACCTCTGCTCCGTAGGAGTTTGAGTTTTGCCAAGCAAACTTTTTATGATACAGTACAGATATTGATAGAAGAAAATCATGCTAATACTTAGCATGGAGTTCAAGTTCAGAATGGAGCCTTTGGATGTCCCAATGTAGTGTTTGGTTATTAGCAAGGGCAATTAACATCCTGCTTCACTAAGACAAAGCTTGCTTTTACTTAGATTGAGGAGTACTTTAGGTTGCTGAAATCGGAGTGTGGTGTCAGACCCTTAGTTGGGCTGTAACAGGCCTGCCTGGCAGAATATTTAAAAATAAACAGAAGTTCTTAAGTCAGATGTGTTGGGACTACTGAGAAGGTAAATGAGGCAGAGTTGGACCAAACTACTCAAGAAGAAAACGGACAGAGGAAGGGAAAGAGGGGAAAAAAGAACAAAGAACTGAATTCCATAGTACATAAAGAGTCAAGGAGAATGTGGTACCAGTGGAAAGGAAAATTCTGTCATAGAAGGAGGAACACTCCAAGTGTTTTTTTTTTTTTTAACAAGGAATCTGGATTATTAAAATAAGGARTATAATGACAGAGAGCTCCAGAGAACTGTGGAATCAATTAGGGAAATAGTCTATTACTTAGAATAAAGGATGAGAGATGACTGAAAAACCGGCTGAGCAAATAAATGAGACATCATAGGTATAGCAGCACAGTTTGCATAACTTCCTGTTGTGAGTTCAAAATGCATTTTTTCATGGTTCTAACCCAAAGGAAAAACACTCMTAAAAAGTGTACAGGAAATACTGTTCTGGTAGCTCCAGTAAAGTAGATGGAGTATGTTAGCTCTTGTTATGATTAGCTTTGCCATGTGATCCTGGGATTTCCACCTTTAGTTGAAATCTCAGAACTTTTGTGCCTGACACCCTTAACTTTTGCTGCATAGAAAGTCTTATTGTGCCCTTCTCAGTAATGCTGCAGGGTAGTCAGCTGTAGTTTATCTCTCCAGCCTGCACCTGCTGAGTGTTGTTTTGCTATGACTATAATACAGAAACAAAATCATATGTGTATATCTGATAGCATTCCGTGAAACTTGATTTTACAAATTCCCTGAGTTTATTCATGCTTATTGGGATTCATTTTCATTATGCTTTTATTTTACCAAGTAATGAAAATAAGTTTAACWGAACAGGCTTCTCTACCTTTTTTACTGAGGCACTCTTATGTGTTACTCTCTCTTTTCACAGTATTGTACATAAGCACACAGAAGAGAAGGATGTGAAGATGCCAGAAGGAGGCTATTTTGTACTTCTGAATCTCTTAATTATGAGCCCTATTTGATTTGTAGTTAATTATTCACAGGTGAATTACACAAGGGTTTTTTTTTTAAATAAATGTAAACCAGTGTAAAATTCTGGATCTTTTTGTTAGTTTCAAAACACTGCTTTGTTCCATTGTACAGAAAAAAATAAAAATAAAGTATGTAGTAGTGCTGCAAGATTAAATTCAAAGCAACAGCTCATTTGATTGAGAAGTGAGTGCAACGTAACTGTAAATCAGAGTCTTGTGTTGATGGCAAATCAATAGTTTAACTGACATTACAAAAGGATAAACTAATATTTTGGCAAACATGTCCCTTCTGAAAAACAGAGGATCAGTTTTAAATATCGAACTGTAGTAAAGAGTCATCGGGTAAAAAGTTCAGTTGCCAACTCTTACATTAGCCAAAAAAATCTTGAACTGTGGACTTGAATCAAGGATGTAACAGTGACAGTTCAACAATAGGGGTGGAGAAAGAATGGAAGAAAATGGAAGAAAAGCCCTAAGGGTTAGTGTTGTGCCAGCTGTGGGAGTCAGTCACCAGTGCAAAGCAATCAGTTGTATGCCAGCACAGCTAGGTGCCCCTTCCAAGTCCTACCTCTGCTTCCCCACCCTAAGTTATTTTTTGCATGTCTCTACAAAGCACAAAGAATTTATTCAATAAAAYGCAATTTAAACATCAAAAACTATTCCCGAAAACAGACAAAGAATCTTAAAAAAAAACAATGTAAACATACCCGGTTTAGATAGCTCATTCCTACTCTACCATCTCCTTTTCCCCAACCTTGTACCATACATATATTGTTTCTTTATAAGCTAGCCAGAAATGTGAATGAATCTATTGAGCTTAGTGAGTAAGTCCAGTTCAGTTTTATATAAATGCTTCTACTAGTTTATAAAAGTAAGAATTTTATAGAATTAAGAAATAAACTATGCATGTTCTGATATTTCTCAGTCCAAGACACTGCATTTAACACCCAGCTTTACAGAAAGTTTTCTAATTGCACAGGACCAAGTCACAGAATAATACCCCTCCTGGTGAGATTATTTACCCATTCTTTTAATGGGTTTTCTGAAGCCCTGTTTTATTATTTAGGCAGTTTGTATTACCCTTGTGAGCAAAAAGAATATTTCTAATTGTGGATGAATGAACACAAGACAATTGTGTGAGTGTAACACTGGTCCATTCTTTCCAAGTCCCAATAGCTTTAATGCAAATAAGATTGGTAACATTTCAGTTATCCAAGGGAGCCTTTTTTATGATCAGGATATAATTCCAAATTATTTTGCAATTAATAGTTAACCTTTCTACAGAGCACACAAATAGACACACCACTTTACAATATGCTTCAATAATTTTATCTTTTTCTGACATGGGCTTGAAAAAGGTTCAGGATCTAAGTACAAATTACCAATTTGCTCTTCTATAARTGATTTCTTTTTTAAAGAGAAAGATGTGCCTCCAAGAGCTGCATACAATTTTTCATTTGTTTTGTCATCTTATGTTCAGCTGGCAGGTTAGTGATTCCTTTTACTCCCTCTTTTAAGAGTAAATGCTGTTTATTCTTTCTCTCTTTCTCCTCCACCTTTCTCCCCCTTGTCCACCTACCCAGCTARGGCTACATATTTTGTGTAGCATTTGCTTTATTCTCCCTATTTTTTTTAGCTGCAGTTGTGTTTATACAAGCCCTAGTCACAGCAGTGCTTTCAATTGTAATTACTGATTTGAAGAGTAGTTCTGAAACACCATCTAGATGCATGGTYAACTCACCCATGTTAAACATTCAACTTTGTAAATATTCTAATTCAAATGTTATTTTTTAATGTAATCTAGATTACAAAGGTAGTAGGCAATATTATTTCAGTGTTTAAAAATGTATCAGGTACTACTCACCTTTTGAGGTGGATAAGAAATTTCATGTTAAAGAGGAACCATTACAATTCACATTTAAATTTCAAAGGCAAACAAACAGAACCAATATGTCCGATTTGCACAATCACTAACCTTTATGTACATATTGCAAGCCTTAATTCAATTTTCAACTCCTATGTTTAAATGAAGTGAACATTTAATAGTCAGTTAGGCATCATAATGTTTGGAGGTAGTTCATTTTAAGCTGGTTAGATCCATTCATCTTRGATTTCTTTAACTTGGCTTTTAGATTTGGTTTCAGCTTAAACAATGTTCTGGATCAGAACAGATCCAGCTGTAAGTCATTCTGACACTGTAGACAGTATTCAACATTTGAGACAAACTATCCTATTAAATATATATTTTAACATGAAAGTAGTATATTTCAAAAGTGCTTAATATTTAAAAATGTCTCAATTTATAAAATTCCTTTCCTGTTGGAAGAAGGACTAACAGTAACTGCATGCATTTTCTATACTTAAGAKGCTTAACATTTTTTATATTCTTTCTGTATTCTTAACTCTTCTTAAAAGCCCATGTTCACACAGATAGTATTAAATCCTCATRTTCATGCCCTTCATGTTGTTTAGTTTACCATATTGTAATGCTTTTGCCCCAGTATTTGTGTACAAAGCAGTTTTCCTTGTAGATTGAGCAGAGAGTACATCATAGTTAGTTGGAAAAGTATCTAGCATGTTTAGGTCAGGGCTGAACATAACACATTCCTAACAACTTAAAAGCACTTGTCTGTAGGATAAATCACTTGTCTTAGAAAAGAGCATTCAAAATTATCAAACAAGAAAAGAGCATTCAAAATTATCAAACAAGAAATCACATGCAGTTCAAAGAATAAAGCTGCATTTCTGTACCTAAGTAGTAATTTCATGCAATGAGATTACTTCAGAACCTAAAACTATTGCCCCCCTCCTAGTCCCTTTTTAAACTTTCAGTTCAGACCGCCTCTAGGAAGAACAGTAACTCTGGATATGCTTAATCCCCCATCCAGTGGGAAAGTTTCTCACAAAATTCAAAATTGGAAAGGCAAACTAAGCTGCATCTCTTTCCACAAAAGCCTGGCCTGGAGTAACAATGCACCCTATTCTACAGGCACAAAAGAAAGCAAGGTAGGAGGAAGGGACTAATTACTTACTGGGTGGTAGAGGGGTCTGCACAACCAGAAGTCAGGTTACTACTAAGGACTACAGCACCCTTGGCTGCCCCTWTATAAAGGGAGCAGAGCATGCTAGGAAAGGTTTGCATTAAAGGCATATGCTCTAATGACCAGTCATTTTTACTTACTTTTACTTTTTTTTTGTTTGCCACCTGGTTCCTAGTTTGAAGGAATTCTCTACATTATTCATTTGAATTCTTCTTTTTGATGTCACTAAAATGACAGAATAGTTCCTGAGAATCCACTTCTATAATCTGTAATGGTTATAGCCCATTAAGTCTTAAGGCTCATTACCCATTTCTGAAAACAGGTTTTGCAATACCSTTAGCTTGACAACTGTAGATTTAAGCTGCATTGTTCACAATAGTCAAAAATGTGTGGACACATTTGCAAGTTGACAGTGTWAGAGCATTTGAGTGATGGTACCAAAGCAACATCTGCATCTCCAGTGTGCCAGCCCATGCCTGCGGCTGGTTCCAGCTCGCTGTCCTTTCTGCAAGCAAATCAATTGCAGAGCCAGTAGTTTTGAAGCCTGAGCCGCCTGTGCCCAACTGGCTCTCCGAGGCAGAGAAATTGGACAGGAGTAAACATTCCCTGACTTGTGTGGGCTATGGTACCAAATAAAAGGATTTGGAGGCTGAATTTTTAAGTGAATGAGGCTCATGAGGCCACCTCCAACCTCTGTACCTGTTGATCAGTATGTCCTCTTGTTTTGTCTCTAAATTCAAAACATCATTTCAAGGAGTGAGGTGGCTTCTGGCTCACCAGGAAGAAATGCTTATTGGTAACAACCCTGACTACGGTACAATATCAAAGAGTTTCTCAAGCTGTAAGTGAAGCAACCAACTTACTCTGCGTGACAGCATGGAGTTGCTTATATCCATGTCTGCTTTGCACATTCTTCTCAGCTGCAGCACACCTGGAGTGTTGAGATGTGGAAGCAGTCTGTAGGCAGGAGAAAGTTTGTGCATCAAAGAGCCTGGAATATTACTGGTTTGCAATCCTCCTGKGCACTACTTTGGTGAAATTTCAAGTAACATGATTTACCATTTAACTCAGTTATCAAGCTACTGCAGAGCATGCACTATTTCCACTAATRCTTTTTTAAAACCTCAGCTGCGGGTTTTCTTCTCTTCTAGAAATCTGCTACACAAACACTGCCGAGAAAACAATTAGCAGGGTGTAAGTTGTCTCCTATCCCCTTCTCCATGCCAGCTTCCTACGCACACAGAAATTTATGTCAGAAAAAAAGCCCAAACTCTCTCTAGTGACAGCAGTGACATGTGATCTTTTCTTGTCTGTGTCTGGGCCCCATTGTCAGAGTGATATGCAGAGCCTGGCTGAGCTCAAATGACTCCAGTAGGTCAAAGCTCTGTCCAGAAAAGGCTGAGGCAATGCTGTCCTGTTGGGTAATGCAACCAAAGGCTATGGAGAGGACTGTATTTCTTACTGGAAACATATGCCTGTCATCTGGCATTAGAACTTGCAGTTCAAGGCTGCTGATAGGTGCTCATGTCATAGTAATGACTGTGACAGGATTTTTCCATCTGTAAGTGGAAGATGATTGTAACATTTAGTTTGGCTGCAGCTTTGAAACCACGGAGTTCTTGGCTTAAGAGCAGGCAGTGAGGATGAACTCTGCCTAAGACTATTTCAAATAAGCCCAGCAATTAGAGCTGTGTCCATGCAGCACTGTGTGATCCCAGAGCTAATCTGGAACGATGCTGGGATAGCTGTAGTACCTGCTGGGCAGCGTGCAGCCGTTAGCTCCAGCTGCAGGAGCGAGCAGAGCAACACTCGTGTTGTGCTACATCCTGCACKCTTACAGCTGGGTTGGTTCTGGATCTAATTAGCTGGAAGCTCTTCTGCTTTCTCCCCATATCTGTGAGCTGGAGGCACAGCTGACCTTGAGCGCCGAGCACTGACCTCGAGTAGCAGCTCTAGAGGTGAATGCCTGACACTGCTGCTTTGGGCTCTGCGCTCTCCGTGTGCTGGTTTTTCCCTCAGGTAGAAACCACTGGAGAAATTGCCCTTACTGGAAACTACATAATGAAAACTTTTTCTCAGTGCACAGCAGCAACTGAAGAAAACCAGGCAGTGCTCTACCACCATGCTGTGATTCAGAAACAGACACTTACCTGGAATATTATTTTCAGGTCTCATCGCTCTGTAACAGAATGGCAGCAACAGRTTGAGTGGGTTCAAATGTTTCCCCTACAGATTGTCAGAGGTCTGGCACTGCTTCTGCATTACACTGGAATTAAAAGCAAAGGAAACTTAACTTAGGAATTGGTTAATAAGGAATAGTCCACAAAAGCCTGTGGATTATTCATTAATATAGCATTATTTGAATGTACTCATTTCTTATACATAAAATACGGATACTGGTAAACTAGAATAGCAGCAATAATGCAAACTCTTCCTCTTCTTCCCTGCCCGCCTCCCCCCAACCAACTACTAAAACTAAGACTCTCTGTAAGGAATGAAAGAAAGAAAAACGAAGAGAAAGCAAAAAAAAAAGAAAAGGTGAAAAAGAGAGGGGGCATGCAAGGAAGAGCTTTCTATCTTGGAATTCAGCAGACTTAAGGCCTCCCTGAGATGCAGAGGGGAGAGGTCTCCTGAGAGCAGACCTCTGCTACCAGCTTACATACTTTCGAAACAGTTAAACAAATGATACATGGGCTGCCAGGGCTAATATCTTGGAACCAAAGAGCACCTTATTTTGCTTGGGGACACAGCCTATAGGTTAGGGAAGATGAGTGAGAGCACTGCTAATAGAGGGGTTTCTGCAAGTCTTCCTTTAGTTTCCAGCAGAAGTCCCAGGCAARTTCCTCACAGCACCTCATCTGGCAGTGGCATGAACAGCAGTGGATGAAGCCACGTATGTGAAAAGTTCTAAATTTTCCAGCCTAGCAAATATACTCGGCCATTCTTGGTCACAGAGACATCTGAGAGTGCCCAAAGCAGCCCACAAACCCTGTCCTTAAGCATTGTTGTCCCTTGCTCTCTTCTTAAGAAAGCTTTGCTAATCTCCAGATCCAGTGGCTCTACTCCATCTATTTGCCTGGGGTACAGCGACGCACCAGGAGTTAGAATTAGACGCCCTCCCTGATTTTGCAACATTCAGTGTCGGCAAGCAACGAAACAGTTCTTTTATTAGCACACTGCTTTCCCCCTGGCATACAGAACAGATGTTTACACACGTCCATGCACAGCACGCATACAGCTGTGTCTGTTTCCCAGCTTTTTGGCTAAGATGGGTAGCCATTGTTCTTATCAGTGACCTGAGGACAAAGGGGTGAAGTAAGGACAGGGCGGCAGCTTTCCACAGGGTTTCCCGGCTCCGGTGGCTTTGTCAGATGTTAACGGTTACTCCTGGCATGGCTGCTGCACGATGCACAGTCCAACGATTTCTAGCAGAATTTTGCTTTTACTGTCAAATAACTCCCAGGTAAACAGGAGGGATAAGATATTCAGGTCCGAGTGTACCACAGACTGCCACAGGGAAGGGGCTTGGCTTTGTTTTGGAAACCTTCAGCTACAGAAGATGTAGGAGAGGGAATGAGCGGAGGGTGGAGGGCACAAGAAGTCCTCTCCTGCTGCACCGCTGTAAAGGAATTTCAGGGTACCCCATGCAAAACCCATGGTTTAGCACTGCCCCTCTGCTAGTTGCCTTCATTTTCATTGCGTAAACTTGGAGATAATAAAAGGGGGTGGGTGGGATATAAGACAAAAACTAATACGATTAAGGCTGGATTGGGGCATTGACAGAGAGTTCCTGCAGTCCCGGGTATTAGCAGTAACAGCTGCTGCCCTTCTCATTAGAGGAGAAAGAGACGAGCTTCGCTGGCAGGACGTTTCCCTGGCAGGCTGCGGGCAGCGGGGCCGCCGGCGGAGCGCTCGCGAGGTAAGGCGGCACAGCCCGAGCCCTCAGCCCTGCTCCGCAGTGCTCGGCACGGGGGGCACTGCTGCTGCTGGGCAACTCCACAGGCAAAAGGGGCTGCTCAGAGGCACCTCTATGAGCTCCTGAGAGAAATCACATCCCACTAGGGAGAGTGAGGTGTATCCGGGGGTAGGCTGACTCCATGAGGATGAGGGCTTCCTCTGCCCTCTGCTGCAGCGGCTGGWATGTTTTGGGATGGCTCCTCTGAATCCCACGAGCATCTCTGACATGCAACTGATCGGAGGGATGATGCTGCACAGCAGACAGGTAAACTGCATCCATCTGCTCCCTGCTTGAGGCCAGGAACAGAGAGTTTCMTGCGCAGTGGCAGTTTCAGAGAGTCAGCCGGCAAGTTTTATAAGTGATATAAACGGATGKGCAAGCTAGACCTCCTCAGTCTAATTTCTTTTGATTTATTTACATCGAGTTATTGACTGAGAGTAAGGTAATCTAAGCCAGGAAAACTTGAACATTAAGAAGATTTTAGAAAAAGCTACATTAAAAGCTATACCACCTGCTTTAAGATTCACATTACCACTCACAACAAATACTCTGCGATCATTCTTCATCTTTGCTTTCAAATGTGTACTGAAAAACAGGAATAATAAAATCCAATCCATCCATCCAATCTGCAAATGTTTTGTGCCAGCCACCAAATCTGAGAGATACTAAAGGCCTGTCATGTAGAAATTATTAAACTTCTGTAATGTCAAGAAAAATGTTTCCACAGATTAAATACTGGATAATAAGAAGAAATTTTAGCATTAGCCAAAATGGCTGTATGTTTATCTTAGGCTTCTAGCGCTAGTTTCAAAGATAGCGTCTCTGATGTCTCATAATCAACAAGGAATTTTGACAGAGAAGGACAAACTAAAATGCTGCTGGAATGTCAAATACGGGTAGAATAGTTACCACGGACATGCTGGCGGCAGCAGTCAGCCCGAGCCGCTGGGACGYGGAGCGCTGGCTGTTGGAAGCCGCTCGTGCTCACGCAGGTCGTGGCGCAGGGCAGGGACAGGCTCTCCCGCACGTGGCTGCGAGCAAAGGGACACAGCATGTGCTGTCCCTGCCTGCCCGCCAGCATGGAGAGGCTCTGCTCTCCGTGGATCTGAGGGACGGGTGTTTCCCCCTTCTCTCCCCATTGAGCCAGCTGTATATGTGGGCAGGGAATGGTAGAGAGCAGGGGGCTGACTTGTGAGCGCGTCAGTACAGAGCCTTCTCTTCTGCTAAAAAAGACAAAAATTTTTAGAGCAAACACGCCTCAGCTATTCACCCAACAGATGACTTCACAAGAAATGCATTCTCTTGTGGGGTYTATCCCTTCCAGCCTCAACAATTTAGTTCAAAATGTGAAATCTGTGGGTTGCCAGAGAGGCACCATGTGTCACAGAGATCATTTATTCTCCTTCATTTAAGGGCTGTAGGAAAGGCTGTTGTGGAGCTCAGCTAATTCAAAGGTGACAGCCACACTTGTGGACTACAGCCATCAGAAGTCACTGCTTTGAAGTTAACTYGCCTGTTGTTTTACGGATGTAAGATGGAGGATGGAAGGCAAGCCCACATAGTTATCATCAGATGGGCATGCATGATGCTGTGCTTGATTTCACATGTGGCTGCGTTCTCTCACGGAGCGAGTCCTTCTGCCTGTACTGACATGATGCCCAAGCACATGAGAGCTCAGCTGCACAGTCCCAGGAACAACTATGTTACTATTCATACCAATATGTCCTTCCTCCCAGGCGACAAGGTACCAGGTAAGGAACAACAACTAATTTTATAACTTAGCAAAGTCAGGGGAAAAGCCCTAAATCCGTTAGTTACTGGTTCTACCTTGTGGTGGTTTTGCTGATGGATATTCAGATCACATTCAGCCTTGACTCTAAATCCTGTGTGCTCAGCAACAAAGTTTTCTGGTCAATGCTCAAAGGAACAATTATTTAAGATGAAATGCATTTAAAGAATGGATGAATGCATCTAAGAAACACACAATAACTAATCTCTGGTGATGGCGTTAATCTCTGTGAGGGATGGGAAGAGGGTAACTTTCACATGGCACTGCTCTGTGGAAATGTACCCTATTTCTTGCCACATGGAAATGACTGTAATCGCAGAGATTCTCCACCTGTTAGATGAGGATAGCCTGGGCATTTTTGTCAGCAACTGGAAAGGCTGAAAGGATCACAATCTGCTTGCAGGCTCTTTGTCTAAGTTTTCTTAGTTTCTAAGACAGATGATGTCTGATTCCAGGTGTTCACCATGTTGCAGGCTGAATGTTTGTGGCTGATAGGTTTAGATACTTTGGGTGGGCTTCACTCATCTCATCACGTCCCAATCACACAGGAACTCACCACACGCACTGGCACGTGAGAAGCACCGCCGGAAGGTAGGTAAGTGCCCTTGTCTGATTCCCACGCCTCCCAAGGACAGCACGAGCTGCTGCCGGCAGCGACCAGCTCTCCTCACAGTGCGTGGAAGTGTCTAAGTGACGACCTTGACTCCTCAGTAGGGTGGGCAGGATGACTTTCTCCAGCACTGCTGCACCTGGGGAAGAAGCAGACAGATCTGAGATCTACCTTTCTGCAGGGTGGCCACTTGCCTGCTCCCTCCTACTTAAACTAACTCCACCCCAAGGACACTATACAATCTTCTGCACACATGCAGTGTGGCATCCAAACCTCCTTTAAAATGACTGCATTCTGTAAAACAATCTGCTTAGCAGCTTAGAATCAAGGAGGGGGAAAAAAGACTCAAGCAAAACATCTGTGTAATTTCATGCTACAAAGACAAGAGAGAAATCTAGCCCCCTGCACGTAGCATGTCCAAGAAGGGCTGTAGGGACAAAGTTGGTCGATTTTTATTTTACATGGCATTTTCTTCTGATTTCAGTGGCACCAATGAAATTTTCACTGCAAACAATTAAACTATGACAAAAATCGCTTCAAATGCCATATTTTGTCTTGCAGTGACAGTGAGGAGCAGCCGGGATTTTATGGGTTTCTTACTTCAAGCTCGCAAGGTGTCTAATGAGGAAATTGCTGGTAGATTCGTTTTTATTCCTCCTGGTTCCAAACTGCTGAGTTGTTTTGAAGATGGTGATACTGTCACCCACTCCGACAAATCCCTGAAAAGAAACTTGTCCTTTGTGTGGAAAGCACCAGACCAACCCATTGGAGACATCAAGTTTTTGTAAGCACATGTTGGTTCCTAACCAGAATTGTGTCTTCTTAGTTAAAAAGGTGGCTCTATTTTTCCATTGTACCTGTCCAACATAGTGGATAATATATCTTGAATCCCATATAGTTAAATATTTACCAAATGCTACAAAGGTGTCCCAGTTGGTATACAAATTGCCCTTTTTATCTGTGGGTAGTGCTCCTTTTTACTTACATGGTCGGTACTTTTTTCAGAATAAATACACCAGAAGAAGACAGCCTAAATGCTTAGGAAAGAGAAATATTAAGGCTAAGGAGAGAACCATGATCACTTGTCTGACTTCCTAAATAACATCCCCCAGAACTGCCCTGCCTAGGCAGCAATGTTGCATACCATTTCTGTGATTTCTTTTGTATTTAGAGTTTTTTAAATCTTAAATATAAACAGATTTATTCACAAAGTTATTATTTTAAACCAAGTAATAAGAGAAAGCAAGCACTGAGTCAAAAACTGACCTCATTATTCTGCATCAAACTGCCAAACTGTCCAAATATTTTGGTTCTCTCTTGGAATTGAGTTAAAATTTTCTAACCGGCTGCTGTAGAGGAAGCACAGTCATTTTTTTCATTTTGGATGAGATGATATTGTTATGTATTGACTTCACAAAAACCAGTCAGAAGCTGCTTGGCCAGATCCCTGGCTGCTCCCCAGAACAAAAGCTTCCTGGTGAGTCGCAAGGTTTGTGCATCTCATTGTGATTCAACACAAATTCATTGAAACAGATATGTTTCTTCTCAGCATGCCCATTTTGTCCATTATTTTACACTGGAGAAATACTACTAAAATGTGCAAAACTAAAACAAAAATAACCCAACCCCAACAACATCTGCTTCCAGCCACACACTCTGATTCTTCCCTCCCTGTCTTCCGAACCCCTTAAGTCGCTTCTAASAGTGTTTCCCCTTTCTCCACGCCAGGCCAAGCCATGGCTCTCCACACTGGCCACTCTGCTCTCTTTGCAAACCCTGGGACACCCTCTCCTCCCTGCTCTCTCCTCTCCCCGAAGCCAGCTCCCATTTCCTCCTCCCTCTGCATGTGACGGTGCCCCTGCTCTGGCATCTTCGTCCCTTCTCCTTCATTTTTCTGCAGTGGTTCTCTGTCCATCCCCTCTGCCTCCTGCCTGGCTGCCAGGTCTTGTACATTGCGGGGGTTCTGCCGGCCCCCTTCCCTCAGAGGGGCAGGAGAAGCAGCACTTTCTGCTCCAGCCCGTGGTCTTGCCACCACGTGCGGTCCCACCACGGTGACCCTGCAGGGCCRAGAGCGCTATGGGGCAGCGCGGCTCGAGGCCAGGACACGGCAGCAGCCCCAGGACCACCGTGCTCCTACCGGGACTGTGCAGGGCCGGGGTGCCTCCCCTCCCCAACTATTTATCAGCTGGTAGAGTTTGGGCAGATTTAATGCAAATAGCAGAAGACGCATCCTAACAAAGGTGTTCCCCAGGCACACTGTAAATCCTTCTTTCAAAACTTGTGTCACAGCATCTGAGAAAATTCCTTTTAAGAATTAAGAAGCTCGGAAGAGCTGTTTAATAAAGGAAAACCGGAGCTGGTTTCCCTTTATCGCATTTGCAGAAATAGCTGAGCCATCTGAGCTGAAATTCTCCAACAAATATCCAGCTTAAATAAGGCTGTCAGGATGAATGGTTAAAGATTGGCAAAATGCAGATTTCACACCTGACAAAGAGCAGAGTGTTAGGCTGGCTCACATATTAAAGGGCCAAGAGAGAGTGCCCTCATTTTTTTCTACCTATACTGCTGTTTGTACAAGTTACAATGACTTCTTTTAATTAGTAAATACCACAGTTGTCTCCTTGCCTACAGAAGATTATAAGCAGAGCTATTCAAAGTTTTCCAAATGCACTTCTATCAACACAGCAAATATAAGGGCTTTCTTTTCATTAAAGTTCCCACACATTTTTGACTGATCTTAATTGTGAGTGATCCCTTGCTCAGTATCTGTCTTACAGGACCTGCTATTTTTTATTTGTAATATAAAATGTATGACGGGATAACCCTTTAAAATATTTTTGCACCTCTTCTGCCTTTAGATTAAAGCATTCTTTTTGATTAGCTAAATGTTCTGATGTTTTATTAATGGTAAAGAGTGAGTAAATCCTTGCATAATTATATTTTTAACAGCATATCTGTAGTCCAGTCATACTTTGTTTACTGGACAAAGATTGAATCTGCCACTGTAGCTCAACAAGTGCAAAACAAAACATCTGCTGATAGACACAAGGCGGCCAAGACTGTAACACCTGCACCCTTGCAAGAATTCACTGACCCACAAGTAGGAGGTAGGACAAGCAAAGGTAGGTGTTTGGTTTCTGACAGCTTCTTTAAAGCTTTTTTGACAGCTTAGCCCATGCAACTGCTGTACACAATTGGTCGAGAGGCCCTTTTAACACACATCCCTGTTGGTGAGACCACAGTGGCTGTGAAGAACTCCTTGAAGCGAGGACATGTGTCAGAATTCAAGGTAACACTGACAGCCCAAAGAGGGTACCAACATGGATAAACAGAATTGTTATATCTTATGATGCTATGATGACATACTCTAAAATACTGTAAAATATATCTACTTGTACTTAAAACCTCAGTTCCCAAAGACAAGCAARTGCAATTTGCAATACTGTCTAAATATGTGAGTAAATTTCCTCTCCGAATGAGGCTATCCTTCAGACATGTGTTTATAAGTATTTATACAGCCTCGATTGAATAAAACACTCTACAGAATTAGACTTATTAAAATCTGACATGTTTCTTAACACTCTTGGCATAGCACCAAGTCTGAGTTTTAACTATTTTACATGAATACAACGTGGGCAGTGAGCTTTGCTCCTTTTCATCTGGGTCGCTACTTAGAATCCAGCGATGCAAAAAAAAAAMCTACTCTTCCGACCCTCACTACTGAACGTCAGCACCACGTGGGGGTCGAAACAGCCAAAACAGGGGAAAGAGCTGACTTGTGTCTCTCCTCTCCCCTGCACGTTGCCTGTGCCTGAGGAGGTGCCACGTCTCCCGCTGCAGCCGCCGGCTCCCCGCTGCCCGCACACAGCCGGCCGGCCGGCCTGGCGGCCACCCTCACGGCAGAAGCGCCGCTGCGGACGCAAGCACAGCCTGTTGCTGACCCACTGCTGCTGCCTCAGGCTTTGCTGGATGCCGCGGCCCTGGCTGCATCCAGCAGCAGTGGAGGAAGCAGCAATTTCAGCGGGCAAGGGCTGGAGCCATCACTTGCTTTCCAAGAACCCGGCCTCACRAGCGCTTCACCAAGTTTCCTCCTCCAAGACTATTTCACCAGCTACAGCCCCTATGCCGGGTACTGTGCGAGCAGCAAATGAGGCAGAGTGCACAGGGGGAAGAGCTGTTCTCTGTGCTGAGGGAGGAAGTTGTTACTAGTTTCAGTGTGGCTGAATGAGGGTCCATGCAGGCAGGGGCTCGTGGCTCTGGGGGAGGGTGAGAAGGGGTTTCCTTGCTCAGCTTTAGCGAAATGATCCTTCAGAGACTGCGCATGGCAGACAGTGACAGTGAGACACTACTGCAAAACAACCAAAGAGCAAATGTTCTCTYGACGCTCTCAGACTAGGTGCTAGAAAAATATGATAAAAAATCAGAATTGATGGTTGCAATATTTTCCTAAAAACAGGTACAAAGTTTCAAAGAAATTATTTACTTAGCAGAACTTTTCCTCCATCTACAGGGAAAAGAAAGAATTTAAAGCAATTATGTAATTTTGGCTTGAGGATGCCTACTCATCCTCAAGACGATGCAAGAGTCTTTGAGGGTCAGGGCTGTGCAGACTTTCATGCTGTGCTTTAAACTCGGGATGTAAATTACAGGTATGGGAATAAATGATAAAACAGTAAAAACAGGGCTCTGCATGGTGTGTGTTGATTGCGTGTATCACAAGGCTATTCTAGCAAGTGCCCAAAATAGATTGTGTTCCCAGAAGAGTCTTGGTTTGTGGTTTTAGTTAGTTAGTTAGTTTGTTTTTGAAGTGATAGACAAAGGTATTAACCTTGTCTTTCCTGTCTGTGTATTTTAGAACACGAAGCATTGCTGGCACCACCAGAGCACCCCTGTGTGTGACGTGCACAGAAGGTGGGCAGGTAAGCACCGCGCAGCGGGACGTGCCCCGCCAGCRACAGAAATGGCTGGGACCTCGTGAAAAGCCTGAAAAGCTTCGCTACTAAATCACTGCAGCAAGCAGTCTGTAGGTGTCAAAAGTGACTAAAACCACTTTGAGTTAAAAACTTTAATTGCTGAATTTTAATTGAATTTTCTTTTTATATATATATATATATATATATGTCTTTTTCCCTTTCACCCTGCTGCCTGGATATTTAAAAGCCCCACTATGGAAACAATCTAAAAGAGCTTCTCTGGATGAAGATATGACCATAACTATAGGCTGCTGGATATTACCAGGCTGGAAATTTGCATTTGAGACTGAAATAATCTGTGAACAGGATAGTCCTACATTCTCCTCACAGCTTTAAAACCTGATTTTCTGCAAAAGTTTTAAACATCTATTTCTGCTCAAAGCTATTTGCGGTGTCAGTGTGTGCCTGCTCTGTAAATGAAGACTAAAACTTACACTACATCTAAGATAATTTCCTCTTTCTCTAAGCACCGAAATGCATAAGAAGAAAACATGCTCCTTAATGTGCTCACACAAACACACATCACAAAGTGCAGACAGTTTCAATAGGTACTTTTGCATAAAAGTGCAGCACTTCCAAACCAGCTTGATATTATTTAGGGAGCTCCATTTCCTGTTTTCAGACCATTTACCTTTTTCTTTACAGGATTTAAATTGTTCTTACTTGAGGCCTAAGAAAGTTGCTGTTCAGGGACAGAAAAGCCTAATGTCTCCTTTAGTTGTCATGGAAGGTGCAAACCCAGAAACAGTTTGTCACTTTCTCCTAATTTATCCTGGTGTAAATCATAGTGGAGACCGCTAAGGTCTAAACAGCTTCTGCCCTGTGAAAACAGGGCAGAGTGAGAATGGCCTCGRGCCCGTAGGGCACTTGATGTCTTGTTCTAACATTGCTCCTCCTGCTTTACTCACTGGTTGGGACCCTCCTGGACAAGCCCTGGAGGTGACTCTCTCCTGGGATGCACAGTACAGGTGCAAGCTCCCCTTTCAGGGGAAACTTCCCTCCTTCCACTGCTAGGCAACTTACTGGATGCCARGTTTGTGGGCAGTGAAGGTGAGCACCAGCCTGAGACTCTTGCAATGGCTGGAGATGGCAGAAGAGGCGAGCTGGCGAGAGCCATCCAGGAAGGGCAACATGGGGAGGTCCAGAGAGGTGTAAAATAAGAGCATTGCTGGGGGAGTGGGTGGCTTTGCTGAGGGAGGAACCATGGGCTGGAGACAGACTGCTGAAGATCAGGTAGAGAAGGGAAAAGACAGCAAGAGAAGGGAAGAAAGCAGAAGACAAACAGCATTAATCAGATGGGARCTTGTATAGAAGCTAGAAAGTGAGGTAGGTTAGAGACACGGGAAACAATGCTAGTAGGGGCAGTGTAATAGGCAAAGGATGGAGAGAAGAAAAATACAGAGCTATGTCAGGGTTGCAGATTGCCATGGGAGGAAGAGAGGTTAACAGTCCAGAAAATAAAAGAGGAAAAGGCCTTGCAACAGAGAATGAGAGAGAACTACTGAGAAAGAAGTGAAGAAATGAGAGGACTGAAGGAAAGGAAGAGCTACTGCCCTAAGTGAGACCAGAAAAGCATTGCAAAATTAAAATACTGAGAAATAAGACATGAAAAGAAAGAAGTAAAAAAAAAAAAAAGGAGCCAATTAAGGCAAGGAAATTCTATTTTCTATACTTAAGACCCCAATCCTGCAGTATATCCCTACAATGCGACCTTCACATTTTTAGGGCAAGCAATCCATACAGATGCAACATTAACTTTGCCAGCCAGCTACTTTACAATTTACAGACCAACCACTGAAATTCTTCTATTTGCTGCCTATTCTTTACTACCACCTTCACTTTCTTTTGAAATTGTCTCTTCCCCAAAGGCTGCTCTGACCTTCCCCTACCTTGGTTCACAGCTTGCCAGGGTTCCTACCTCCGCTTTGCGCTCCTGTCAGACTGGCTTCCCAGCAAGATTTAGAAACTGTTAATGACAGTAGCGGGTGAGAGCTTCTCTGGTGTAATTAATAGATGTGTGAAAAGGCCTGCTGGGCTGGACATGCTGAAGAGAAGCCAGCTACTAAGGGCCACATCCAAATCTCAGTGGAGCCAAAGAAAAGACTCTGCTACATTTCACAGGGTTTGGATTGGGCCTCAGGTGCACAGCAGGGAGTGGAAAATTCGGTGAGGGCCTCCTAAATTATAAGACTGCCTCACAGTTGGTTTTGGATGATATCTGTAAGCAAAGCTTGGACTACAGAACTGGCAGATAAAATAAGGTGCCTGGCACCAAGCAGAACCCAAGGAATGCACACAAGCAAAAAGAATAGTAACTCACACTGTAATGGGTAGTTAGACAACACTGAGAGGCAGCAGATTTCAGACTGTCTGAACAGACTGAAAAGGCAAGACAGTCTTTGGGGAGAGTTCTATGTGACAATCCCAAAAGACCTGTGTCAAAGGTTTTCTGAAGCCCTCTAGGTGTCCCTGCTCCATGGTCCGGGCCAGTGTCTCRGAAGGGCAATACTGAATGGAACAGGCTCACTGCGGTCCTAAGCAWGCAGTTTGGCTGGAAAGATCACATCTCTCCTTTCAGCTTGACTCTGGCATCAGTGAATGGAGGAATTTATTAAGTAATTTTGTGTGTGTGTATGTGTGTGTGTGYATGATGGTGATGTCTGTGAAAAATGCCATCACAGCAGCAATGGGAGCTACAGACTTCTAATGCTAAGCAGTGACCTTCATCTTTGCCCTCCATCTCTTCCCATTCAACACACTCTACCTTGTGCCTATAGGAGTACCTCCCAGTGCCTCATCTCCCATGGCAATTGTGATATGGAAGGAGATGCATTGAATCTACTTTGTTTCATAAAAGCTATAGGGTTATTCTAAGGCCAGGGTAACACCTGAAGGAGAAATATAGATTTGAACCGTGCAGTGAAGCTGCTGGTGGACAAAAATCTAACTGATCTCCTTCCTACTGCCTTGCTGGCTATTTTGTTTTGTGTTTRCTTTCAAAGGTGACTACTGCAAACTGGGCTGTCCTAAAAACCTCCTCATATGCAATAGCTTCTCCTTCTGCCCCATATGTACACACTGGCCTGCCTGAAACCACTGTGGCAACTGCCCAGATCCGCAACTGGGATTCTGCCAACAACCTGTCGTCAGCTTCCAGGCAAATGGCGCTGCAGCCGGAGGAGGCAGCGCCCAGCGGCCAAGAGGAGGAGGAGGCCAGAGAGGAGGTGGCAGGGAACACACCGGCTTCAGTGACCAGAGCAGCTCCCGAGTCTGCAGCTCCGGGGAAGGTTCCAGACTCCGGCAGGGGGACTCGCCTCATAGCAGCCCAGCTCGGCATCCTCTTCGTCTGCACGGCCGTGCTGGGCCTGGCTCTGGTGGCCGGGCTGCGCTGTGTCTGTGCCCAGCACTGCCACAGGCGCACAGAGGTGACCTTCAGTGAGCCGGASCCGGCCGTCATCGCCGTGCGGGAAAGCGGCGAGATGCTGCACTTCCGCAGGATCCGCGAGAACAGCTTCGTGCTGGTGCAGGCCGAGTACAACTGGGTCAGCCCGCCCGGCAGCGGGAAGAAGGGCGTGATCTAGACACCCGCAACACTGAAAGCAGCGCTATGTAGGTGAGCCTGCTGCTTGTGCAGGTGAATGTAACTAATGCTTAATACAGATTATAGGAGGCACTAATGTATCTCCTGTATAGGCAGCCAATAGGTAAACATTCCACCTAGGAAATGGTGTGGATATGCATTGGGGGGGGGGGGGGGGGGTGGGGGGGGGGGGGGGGGGGGGGGGTATAGTGCAGATGCAGTGAGTTCAGAGAGAGATGTTTATTAGTCAAAATATCTAAATTACAGCTGCAAGGAAAATATAAGTAGATAGATTGTTCTGGGTGTTACATTTACCAAGGTTAGTATTGTACATTTGCTCATTAACTGTGTCTTTGCAGCTATTACACTTCCTCTTTTGTCTTAAGAGAATAGCCAAAAAAAAGAAAATTTTCTGCACTGTGGTGTTGTGTCCTGTTTAATCTCAGCAAAAGTTTCTAGTGCTATGATTTCCTTTCCTTTCTGGGAACCAAAACCCCCTGATTTAAGCCACCATTGTCATTTASAAGTTTATGCATTTGATTGCATGCATCTGATATTTCTCAGATCACAAAACACTTGCCAGTGGATTTTAGGTTCCTACGTGAAAACAAAAGCAATAGCTCATTAGAGCAGAACATTGATCCGAGGAATGCAGGTGTTCCTCACACTGTGGAATTGATCTTTGGAAAAGAAGCACAGGGCGTCAGACACTCGCTTTTGGGGGAGTAACATGTCTCCTCATCAGGTGCAAATGGAAGAAAACCTTTCCCATCCATTTGCACCTGATGAGGAAGCTTGTTTAAGCCTAACGGCCAGCATTTACTTTGTCTCTTACTTCAAGTCAGTTCAGTAACACTGTGTGCAAGACACACACTGAGCAGTACCCTTCCCAGGTCACTCCAGAGAYGCTCAGCGAAAGCGAGGTGGTAGGTTAACAGCATCCCTGTCCAAACTTCTCTATGACCCTGCAGTTTTCTGCAGGGGGGCCTTGGAAAACAGGAAGAATCCTGGCACATTCCAAATACTAGGAGGTGTAGAAAGCAAAGGTTCACTTTACTGAAGTTTTGAATGAGCAAGAAATAGCGCTGATAACAATCCTCTTGAAATGCAAATTTTGGAGCCTTCCAGAGASCATAATCATCCCATAAGCAAGATCTAGTCAAATCTGCAGTTTGAGTAACATAGTGCCTCTTTTGCTGATAGAGATTTCCATGTTCAAAAAGAGCTCAGTTTTTACCATATTCTTGAACCAYGATCAGTGATGAGACACTTCGCAGTTCACACATGGCCTAATTTCTGTCATGTCAACTTCTAAGCCTAGGAAGCCTTGGACAAAACAAATGAGAAAGAAAGAAACTGTACTCACAAATGCAGCTTGCAGAGAGGAGCTTAGTGGTCTTTATTATTGCKGCTTCAGATGATGGGTAGCTGCACCAGGGTCCATCCATTGCAGAACAACCAAGGCCAGAGGCAATGCTGTAACTAGAAATATGTGTGTTTCAGAACTCAAAACAATGAGCTGGAGTACTACCTATTAGGAAGCCTCTAAGTTTCCAAGTACAAGTCTTACAGTAGAGTGCCCCTCCTTTGTCATTGTACTTCATAAAGAAATCTATTTGCTGTAACCCAATGCAGCACCTAGTGTATAAAGCAAACTGCATTCAAGTCACTGTTAATGCAGCCAAAAATTCCTAATTAACTGAGAAAATAGGTCAACAAATTCTTAAATATTTAAAGAACTATCACATACTATTTGAAAAAGTTTCTTATGATGCATGTAGCTGCTTATAAATAAATTACAAACACCTATGTCCCCTCTCACTATCTCTAGGTTTAATGTTATTATCAGATTGGTAGAGCTTTCAAAGTGCAACCTTCTTTTCCCCAGGGCTTTCCCCATAACTCAGAACTACCTTTTACCACGTTGACTATAGAAAGTGACAGCCTCAGTTTGCAATGTGGAGATACTTGATTAGGATAGTGGCCCTTCAACACTATGCTGGGCCAAAATCTGCCATCTGCTAACCTTACACAGTTTCAGCATTATTAGTAGTAAAAGCAGTAACAGTGAGCTCTAAAGGCACCCCTCTCCTCTGTACTTCATGGACTTGGATAAGAAACTAAGTGCTTGTATTTTTTAGGGGACTTCTGAATGATCTTTCATTTATTGTAGTCGCTGTGACAAGAAGGACAGAGATTTTATCTCTTCCTTTAAAAACACTAGCACTGTTTAATTTCTTAAAAGGCAAGTCAAACACCCCACATTTTTAAGTGTCTTGCCTTAAATAATCTGTGCTTATGTTTGTAACAGATGTAGGAGAAATAAAAAACTATTATACTACTTGCTAAGTGACAAGTAAAAGAATTTTTTTTTCTGCTTTGGATGCATGACTCTGTAGGTCCCAAATACAGATGCTCGCCTGGCTTTATTTCAGGAGCGCAAGATCCCGGCTCCTCCAGGGCAGGTTAGCCTGAAGTAGCCAGCCAGGCGCGTGTGGCTGCTGCCCTGCAGCAAAGGGACAGTGCTTTGTGTCAGAAGTACTGACAAAAGGTGTCAAAAGGAGCTCACTTTCAGGTYTAAGGCACATCTACTCTAAGTCCCTCCGACCATCAACCACACTGACATCAAACACAATTTGAGCAATGCACTCCTAGGGCTTAAGGCTTCAGATGCAGTTATGATGCTTCACCCATTCTTAAAAAAAAAAAAATAAAAAAGGCTATAGAGATAAGCACTGCTTTCAAGCTAACTACTGTACAGATCTACCTTTGCTCTCCTTCTGCTCCATATTCACTGCTCACAAATCACTGCTTCTAAATCCAACGGTCTTGCCTGTTGAACGTGCAGTACCATTACTGCTTCCCACTACTTTTTCATGGTAACAAAATCGGTTTCATCAAGTCCTTGTGTAATGGTGTTCCTCTCTGCTTAGGAGGTGAAGGTTATCTCCTGCTACGCTGCCTCCGCATCTCCTCTATTAAAGATCCTGACCCAACCTCAGTTATCAGAGACCAGCACCTTTCCAATACACTAAGGTGGTGCAGAGGCTGCACTAAGCGAAGCACCCGACCTCAAGCACGGTTTAGTCATTGCAGGCATTTCCTGAGCTGGTCATGACTGCCACCAGTAAGCAAAAGGACAAGCACTGAATAATTTTGTCATTTCTAAAATGGCAGGCAGGGCTCACAGCAAAAGACCATGGGAGGTAGTTTTCATTTGCTGAAGTAAATGGGAGCTCTTYCATCAACATTTTTTGAAGACAGGGTTCGTGTGCCTGTCCCTGCTTGAAAACCTACTGCCCGCACCAGCAGGCCCACTGTAGTGGTCCCCAGGGATGTGCAAGCTCGGGCTAACCACGCACGGCAGGCTCTGTTCTCACATAAAAGCAATGCTCTCCACAGAGCAGTGTTGGATGAGGCCCCAGGTATTATGGACATCTGGCTGGCTGGCTTGGCCGGCTTTTTTGGCACAGTTTCTGCAACTACTTAACACCACACAGACCAAGAGAGAAAGGCCAAAGGAGCCGAAGCAACGAGGCCGCTCTTCTCTGGCCAGAAACCCAGAGACTGAAACACGCTGCCCATTCCCAGGGAGATGGCACGCAGGCTGCCCTGCRAGGGACGCGCATCCCTCCTCCTCCTTGCCCCAGCAGTGCCTCTTGCCTGGTGCCTTGGGCAGCCCCTTGGTCTGCTGGCTGAGCTGCAGACCCACGTGTTATTTATTCACTTAGATTTAAATAACAATGAGAAACAACTGTAAAAGGATGAGGAGATGCTCCAAGGATTCCTGCAACATTCAGCTGCAAGAAGACAGCTGCTTAACAGCAAAATGGCAATGACAAAGAAGTGACCGYCAGTGAACTGTTTACCCAGTTGGTAAACAGCAGAATAGCCCCTTCGTTCCTCCTGGTAACCCAGACCCTCTCCATCGCCTCTGCCAGGGTCTCAGTGCTTATTCTAGAAGTCGCCAGGCCTGGGCTCTTCAAAGGTTTGCAGCTCTGTACTGCTCCCTTCCTTTCTTTTCTGTCTCCCATGGCCTCTTCCAAGGCACCACATCACGTCCAGGAGCGGCGCAGCAGCACCTTCCCGGCTCTCCGGCTGGGACTGGGGTCGCAATAACCCTCGTGCCATGAGCTTATCTGGAATCTCTCCCCAGCCTCCCTCCCAGACACTGAATCATTTCCCCTTTTCAAATCTCATCTCAAAAGCACTCTTTTCTCATTAGCTTATGTGTGACTCTCTCGGCAAAGCATTTTGTTATATGATGTATGAAGGATCATGTCTCAAACCACATTTTACTGTATATTTAAGTGCATGTTCTGCTGATTTACTGCTGTTCTAGAGAACACCTCCCTTTCTTAGCTGGGCAGGTCCATAAAGGATATATCAGCTTTGACTAATGATTATTAGTACATCCCAAGGTTATATACTACAATCAAATAATGTGTAGGAGGAAAGAGAGACTCCAGCTTACTGGGCTAAGGACAAAGATCACAGATAGTCTGTTTGAATCTTCAGATTGCAATATCCATTACAGATTGCCACCTTCTAATGTCAAAGCATAATTTGTTGTTGAGAAAATGTGTTGCTATTTCAAAGGCAAGTCAAAGATCAGACTTGCTGTATATCAGGGTATGTTGATGAACATTAGGAAGTGATGTCCAGGTACCAAGGACATTAGGCTGCTGGCATAGAGAGAAACATAGGAGATGTGACTTGCTGATCTTTATTATGCAAACACATGGCTCAAAGTGGAAAAATATTTAACCCAGTCAAGCAAAATGTCACCAGTAATTCCCAGTGCTTAATGTAGCACAAACGCTACTTGTCACACAAGTTAACCGTGATCTACTTCCGTAATAGACTCAGCAGGCAGATCAACCCCTTGTGCTGAAATGTGCTGAGAAGGGTTAAAGACACAGCAATCTGTGACAGAATGGGGAGAGCACTGCATATTCCTCTCATACCTAGGACCAATGAAGTGGGCAGTGCRGCCGGTAT